GGGCCGGCCAGCAGCAGCAGCAGCAGCAGCAGCAGCAGGAGGCAGGCGGCGGCGCAGCCGTCCCGCAGCGCGCCGGGCATCGCGGCGTTGCCCAAGAGCCGCTTGCGCAAAGGCCCCGCGTGCCGCTCCTTATCGACGCCGGCTGCGCTCTGAGCGGAGGTGCCCAGAGCTGGATTTATAGGAGCGGGACTTTGCCCGCCCTCTGCCCCCCCCACTCCGTCCCCATCCTGTCCCATCCCAGCCCATCCCGGACACACACGAAAGCGGCTTGTGGGCGACACCGATGTAAACAGTCGGCAGGACCCGTGTGGGCGCTGAGGTGGAGGGGACGCGGGGGACGTCCTGGACGTGCTCCGGTGGGATCGTTGCAGTCGGGGGGGATGCTGAGTGTTTTGCATGACAGCATCGTCCCCAAGGTGCCACGGAACTGGGAGACACTGGGATGCAGCCCCTGGCTCCTTCCCATGGCAGCACGCGGGGGATGCATGGGGGACACATTGCAGCTGGTGGCACAAAGTGCGCCACGTCCCCACGGCTCCGGTGCCAGAGTTGCTGAGGCACCTTCGGTGACCGGCACCGCCTGCGCCCTGGGCTCCTGAAGTAACCACGGGGAAAGTTGCATCATTCCCGGGTGGCTGAAGACAGCCGGGCCACTGGCACGGCTCCTGCTCAGCCGGGGCTGCGGGAGCCTCCGGAGCAGCCGGGTGGACGTGGCCAAGCGGGAGCTCGTGGGGCTCCCTGGCACCGAGCCAGGTGCCACGGGGAGGATGAACCGCGGTGCTGCAGCCTCGGCCAGGTTAAGTGGGTTCATCCTCCTCCAAGGGTTAAGTGGGTTCATCCTCCTCCACCGGGTTAAGCGGGTTCATCCTCCTTCCCCGCGCACGGGTTCGAGCCTCCTCCCTGCCGCTTCCTCCCAGGGCTGCAGAGGCTGCCGGGCTCCCTGAGGCCGAGCATCCCGCCCGGGCCCGTATGATGCTGGTGGGGGTCCTGGCAGCGCCAGCCGCCTCATGGAGACCATTCCTGGCTCTGGCTCCATGGGGATCCTGGCTGCTGGATGTAGGCAGAGGGAACATGTAGGAGCTAGACCCACCTCTTGGAAGAGCTCCTGGAAGTTCCCTTCCATGCTACAGCATCCACACAGCCCTTCCTGACCTGCCTCCATGCATCCCTTTCCAGCCTGCGTCCATGCATCCATCCCCAGTACACATCTGCACATCCCTTCCCAGGCTGCATCCATGCATCCATCCCCGGCACACATCTCCGCATCCCTTCCCTGGCTGCATCCCCTGCATGGTGGGGCCAGGACCCACTCCAAGAAGCCAGGGGCAAACACGGTGTCTGCACCCACCCCATCCAGGCTGGGCCCCCCCCACCACTGCACAAGGTGCCAGCACCCATGGGGACCTCGGTGCCAGCCGGGTCCATGTGACACCCCCCCCAGTCCCCAGCCTCGTGTGTCCCCGCGGAGCAGGAAGAGGCCCAGGCGCCTCCGCGCGCTCCGGTTTGGCAACGTCCCTGCTCCGGGCAGGCGCTCGCGGTTACTACCCCGAGTGACGCGCGCTGTCGCTCGCTTGCGGAGCAGCAAAGCTCGCTGAAGCCGGATGTTTTCTTCCGAAAGGCGCCAGTTACTGAAGCTGGAGATTTATGGTCCAGCAAGGGCCATAAAACCTGTTGCATTCTAACAGCAGCATTTGTGAGTGACGAGCGGCCGCTTAGGAAACCTGCCGGTGTCCTCAGCAGCCGGCGAGGTGCCTCGTCCCGCAGCGGGTTCCACGGACTCGGCCGCCCATGTCCCGGGTTTCCCTCGGTCCTTGTTCTCCCATTCGGACACGGCGTGTTGCACCTCCAGCACGGAGCTGTTCCCTCCGCGTTTAGGAGCAGCCGTTCCAGGGCGCATCCCCGGAGCAGCGCGCGGGTCACGGCACCGCGGGCGGCCCTGCGCGTGGTGGGGGCCGGGACGAACGGGAAGAGGAACACGGGCACGAGCCACTTCCCCATGAGACACAGAGCCAGCGCCAGCCCAACCAGCCTTGCTGCAGGAGCCGGCGAGCTCCGGCTGCTGCAAAAGCTGCTGCTGCAGCCCAAACCCACGCAGAACCTCCCGCTGCTTTTCATACCCATCTCTGCCACCGAAAAGGGGGGGATTTCCCCCCTCCTGGATCCAGCTTCTTGCCATTACTGAGCAAGTGGCTTCCCAAAGGGTGCCCGGGGACAGCCCCGGTGTCCAGAGTCCTGTGGGGAAGGGAAAGGGCCAGTTACAGGGGGGACAAGGCAGGGAATATTTCCACTCGGGGCATTTCTTTCCCAAAGCGTGGGGAAGGACACGGGGGGCCACCAGCACTGGCCTCCCCTGCGTCACATCCCCTTCCACAATCCGCGTCCAGCATTTTCCAGGTGCCTCCTGCCATGGCAATGAATCCGCACGCTGGAATCTTTCTTGACCTTTAGACGTTTCTAAATAAAAGATAAACAAGAGAAATCAGGTGAGCAGAAAAGAGCTTTTACCCCATTGCAGCAGGCATCACGTTTCTCTTCCTCTGTTGTAAGTTTACAGCATTCACTAAAAACGAAGCATCTGTCCCACTTGGGAACTGCACTTCTGCCCTGACCTCACTCCCGGTCAAAGATTAACTCGAGTTCCCAGACTCCTTTGCCCAAATAGTGCCGGAAATTACCCAAATCCAGTCACCAAAAATAGAAACCACCCTTGTCATGCTCTCCCTGGCTGTGCTGGGAGAGCTCCGGCACGCGATGCCGCAGGCGCAAGGAGCTCTCCGCGTGCACCACGCGCCTTCCGGGCCCCGGATGGATGTGATCGGGCACAAGGGGGACGTGACGCCTGCTCTAAATGGCATTTCCCCTTCCCTGGCCACAAAGATGCTGCAATGCCCTGAAATCATCCCCGGGCCACCCACTCGCCCTGGCAGGACCCCAGTAAGGCCTGTTGGGAGAAGCAGTTTTAGACTAGTGTTTCCATGTTGTGCTTCTCCTTCCCATGGAAGAGGGATTGCAGTTCCAACATGCCCAAACAGCCCCAGGTGTTGGGGTGCAACTAGTTTAGAGGATCCACAGTGGAAATTCTAATTTTCCACCTCCGTCTTTCGAGGAAATGCCCCGATCCCTCACACAACCCCAGGATCCACCTCTCCTCGCTTCAAGGCTGCTTCTCTGCTGGCTGCTATGGGGCTGTGCAGCCTCCCGCTCCGGGCAGGCCACATCCTCCCGCTCCTTCCACATCCCAACACCGATTTCCCAAAGTTATCCATAGTCTGAGCTTTCCAGGAACATTTTGCCGGAAGGTTTCTGCCTCTGCAGCCTGCATTGGTCTTTCCGAGCGCTTTCAGGTCCGTGGGCTTGGAGCCGGACCAGGCTGTGCCGGGTCCAGGCCCTCTCCCGCCTCCGGCTCCGGTCAGGAGGAGATTAGTCACCTGCGCGCGGAGCGCCGCGGGACTCGGAGCGCCCGGAGCGCCCGGAGCGACGCGCGGGGCACGGGACGAGGCAGCTCCGGGTCCGCACGAGCCGGAGGAGGCCACGCTTGGGCATGTGGCACGAATCCGTGGCCAAGATCCCTCCGTACCGGACATGGGGCTCGTGCAGGACGCTCGTGCCAGGAATCCTTCCCTGCGCCCCGGGATCTCGTCCGTCACCAGCACAAGGAGCTGAGGGTGGAAGAGGCAGCGAACCCTGACGGGGAACCTGCCCGCTCCTCATGGGGAGATTTTGGCTTCCCGGTTGAACTGGGCTCCTCCAAGACCTGAGCCATCGCGTGCCGCCAGGAAAGGCACCGCGGCGGCTGCTCCCGACGCGGCGCAGGCCGGGAATTCCAGCCATTCTCCCATGGCAGAGCTGCAGCTGCATTTTTCTGATTGAGGCCTGGGGAGCCCTTCGCAGGCACCATTAAAATAGAGGGTGGGTTCTCCATCACCTTCGTGTAAGGTCAGCTTTGATTTGCAAGCCGGGGGAAAATGTGGAGGGCTTGGGGGCTGCCAGATGGAGGCTGTCCAAAAATCCCACCTCATTTACTGAGGGTTTGGAGGACTCGAGCAGAAGGGGAGGAAAAGAGAGAGGGCCACAGATTCTCGGATAGACAAAGCTGCTGTAAGAAAGAAAGCAAATGCGTGAAGATCTATTAGGAGCCGGGCAACTGGAGAGATCTCCTGCTGGCTTGCTGGGGCTGCGGCCAAGAAATCCAGGCGGGATGCACTACCCGCTCCGCATTGCTTCCTCGCGCGGGACCATCATCCGCTTGGGTTTCTCCCTCTGGAGCCTTCTGGTTGCAAAACGCCCTTGTCAGCAACTGGCTCGCTGAGCAGCATGACCTCATCCTGGAAACAACACCTTGTAGGAAAAGCTTATCACCTTATAAAACAAATGAAACCGAGAGTGATTTCAGCAGCGGCACGAGAGGGGTTGGCTCCGCGGCTCCCCATGGGGCGCGTGGGCTTTGCAGGGCAGTTTGTCCTCCTGCAAGGGCAGAGCAGCAGCGAGGGGGCTTTGGGGTCCAACCTCCGAAAGCAGCAGCGGGTCCCGCGCGGGCTCCGCTCCCCGCCGCGTCCCGCAGCTCCCGGCATCGGAGGCGGCAGAAGGGCGGCAATGGCTCGGGAAGGAGCAGCCGGAGGAGGCGCTGGCTGCTCTACCCGCCTCGTTCCTCCCGCGGGACCGGCGCGGGTGGAAGCGGCGCCGCGGGCGGCCCGGAGCCGGTGCCGGCTGCTTGGCAGCACCATCCGGGGGCACCGGGACCCCGCTCGCCTCCCGCGCGCTCCCTGCCCGCCCCGGCCACCAAGAGCCCCGGTGGCTTCTGCCCATCCTCGGTCCGCTTGGGATCCAAGAAATCACACCGCGAAATTCACTCTCATCCTTTCTCAAAGGCTTTGGGGAGGTTGCAAGGGGGTTTTCTCAGCCCGAAGATGGAGCCGTCCTGCAAGCGCCCCGACCTCCGCTGCGTTTGGTGGCACTGGGCAGCAGAGCCCACAGGGCTCCGTGTCCGACGTCCTGGGGAAGCAGCTCCGGCTCTGCGGGGTCTTCGGCCAGCAGAAGGACAAGACCCAGCAGGGACATTTCCCCAGCAGAACCGACGGATCTGGAAGAGACAGCAGAGAGTTGGGGTTCACCAGGCAGCACAGGCTCTGCAGCACCCAGCTATGACACACAGGCTAAACACAGGCTTTGCAGGAGGCGGTTGTGAAATGGAGGTGAAGAGGAAAACCGCAGGCAGCGACGGCCGAGCTGCGCGTGTTCGGCGCCCTGGTTCACCACAAAGCGCTATCGGACTCTGACAGAGCCCTCGCGGGGCGTCATTGCCCTCCCCGCGACGCTGCGGGCACGCGGCTCGGCAGGAAGTCTAATATTACATATAGCCCCGTTCCCCTCTGCCGCACGTTCATCCGAGATGCTCATGGGAGGAGCGGAACAGGGGAGCACCCCAGGCCCTGCAGATACTTAAGAACACAGGGGCAGGAGGTATTATCTATTTCTTTAAGGAAATGCACCAATTCCAGCTTGGGATACACAGGGATAACTCCAGGCTCAGGAGGAAAGCGGCTCCTCAAGCTGCGGCCAACTCTCCACCTTGTGAATAATAGTAATAAATAAATAAGAAAAAAAAGCTCAGTAGAATTGACATTTTTGGCGTGAAAACTGTCACGGTGGATTTATTAATTAGATCTTTCCACCCCTCCCTGCTGGAATTATTCAGTGTGAACAGGGTAAGGCTCCAGCGTACAAAGAGAAAGGGCTCAGGGGCTTTTGCTCACCAAAGCTTTTGGGATTATTGGTTCATTGAGACTAACGGTGCTGCCAGGCGCCTCCAAGAACCATCAGGAAAGCCCGGACGCATTTGCTTGGCCTCTGTATTTTAATACTAGTAACTCATCACTGCCCAAGTGATGTTTTGGTTTAACACCGTGTGTCTTTGGGCCTTACCTGTTGCGAGGAAAGGCTGTATCTTGAGGCAGCTCTCCCTCAGCTCGGGAAGCCCAGTGCACTGGAGTAAACTGTGTAACAGAGAGCAAAATTTCCCCATCCTCATCTAACGAAAGCGACACGGACATCCACGACACGCAGCTGCGGTCCGACAGGATCGAGCATCGCTCCATGCAGGAGAGATCCACGGAGCCCGTCTGCAACAGGAGGAGGGTTCCAGGGGTTGGTGCAAGAGCGGGACAAACCGACTGTTATCAACCCCCTCCACGATGGTTGAATGTCATTTGAGAACACCGTGTCAGAGAGCTACAACCCTGCAAAGGGCATCTCAAAGCAAACCCTTGAGGACGTAAAGCACACCACGAGGCCGAGTTAAACTCTTTATTTACTTTGAAATATCAGTTTAAATTTTCAGTTACAAAGTCCAGTCTAGCAAGAGCAAGCTGAAAGTATGTTAACGGTCCTTTATTACACAGCCCTTTTGTGACCCACGGGATTGTTTGGTTTTACAAGGCACTGCAAGAACACGCTGAGAAGAACAGAAGACCTATGGATTGGAAATTGTAGCTCCAAGAGTCCTGATGAGCACGAGGCCGCCGACACCTGAGATATCCAAACGGACAAGTGTTTAATTCACCACAATTAACAAAAAGGGGGACCCCAAGGGCGGAGCGAGGCTATAACATGCAGAACCATGTCCAAACAAAGCGAATACAGTTAAAGGACGGGCAGAATAACCGTAAAAAGTTTGGCCGGTCTAGCCAACAGTGATGAGCAGGTAGCAAATATTCCGCTTTTACTTTGCCAGGTCTGAATGTGTTTCAGAAAATGCTCCAGAACTCCCTTCAGCGAGTCTCTAAAGAGCATGACGTGGGTCAAGGGGACACTGAGTAAGCTCAGCAGTTTCTCCCCCGTGATAAAAACCCAGTTTTCCACCCAACAGAGGGGTGATCGGCTCCTCTATCCCCATCACTGCCTTGCTGCTTCCCAAACATGAGCCCAGGCCGGGACAAGGCACTCCCTGCTCCATCCAAGTAAACATCTGCAGTCCAAAACCTGGTGCAACATAAACCTGAACGGGTATTTAAGTAGCACAGAGTTACTTAAGGGCAGTGTATAGCCTCATTTCCTATATCTAATTCCTATTTATTGGGAGGCATTTTGTTCTCTATTTTGCCTTAAAGTAGACCAAGCAGAAGAAGACCTCAGGTTTCAACTAATAACATAAAGAATTAACAATATTCTCAGCTTTGTTTCTACTTTGCAGGTTTGACGAAACTGTCCTTTAATCACATCAGATACTAATCAGACATGAATACAATTTTGTTAGGAAAAAAGTGCATTTTGTACTGCAAAACATTAGGGTTTCTGGTCCAAAAATAGCAAATTCATCTACACTAGCTGAAATGTGTACTTACAGCATCAATTAGCGATATTTTCACATTTTATTTGCTAGCATGGATAAACCAAGTCTCTGCAGCTCTGAAATTCATTACAATACTATTGGATAACATATTAAAGTAAATAAAGGAGACAAGAGGAGGGAAGTTACTCTGTGAAAGTATGTTCTAAGCCTACAGATCCATTGCTAACAATTTTAATATCTGTACTGCAGGATGAATTCTGAAAATCATAATTAAAAAGATACACGGTTGAACTTCCTATATCTAAATACCGGTTTCCAGTCACTTTCCAAACACCAGCACTCGCTCTCGAAGCAGCTTAGTGCCATAAATTGCATGGTTAGAGAGTTAGAAACACCCTACAAGTTAAGGAGAAACACAAGTCGCACCTAGTTAAACCATGATACAACATGGTGAAATCGTAACAGCTGGTCTAGCCTAGCGCTAGCTCTTGGGTTAGTCGGGAATTCCCAATTCAACTCATTTACATATAATTATACCCTTCTTGGCTTTAGGAAGCTCTTCCTACTGCAATTCCTTCGATACATTTCATAAGAAAGCCTGCATGCAAGGTCAACAAATCCCACACTCAACCCAATGAAGATTATTCTAGTGTCCAGAGAAACTTTGCAGACTCTTAAGCTTGTACAAACCTTTCCTTAAGGAATATAACAACACCGGGAGTCTGTGCTGTCCATCTGCAAGTCCGCAGGCCTGGAAGCTCTTGGATTCTCACTCCAAGCATGTCACGGGGTGGCACAGCCTGGAATAACACCCTTTGCCAGCTGATTGAGGCACTAAAAGGTTAGATATTGCCTGCAATGACAGACACGCTGTAGTGCGAACGCTACGTCTAAGGGAGACCGTCCAGGCGAGCAAACACGAGCACGGAGCAGGGCTTCCTACCCGACCTACCACAGGCAGCACAAGCCTAAAGGAAATGAAGGTAAGGTGACATATTAGACCAGATGAGACCCCCAGCAGAGCAGGGACAAGCTGCAATGCTTGGAGGTGGCACTGGGTGCAGCAAACACCCTCCCCGTGTCCGCAAGGAGGGGCAGGGAGCTGCATTCCCTCCACATTCCCACCTTGTCTCCCAATTTCCCTCGTCGTCGGGGTGAGGGCAGAACCACCAGCCCCTTTCCTAGTCCTAAACTCCTCAACATCCTCCTTGAACAGTCAGTTCCTCCTTGAAAAACCCTTTAAGCTGAACCGTTCCTGGCTGCAGCCCCATGTCACAACCACACTCAGCACCTCTAACCATCCTCATGACTTTTCCATCCTTTCCCACTACTACCACGTTTAAGAGGAAGCCATCCGATTGGGAAACACTCCCACTAATCACGGACTGTCCCATGTGCTCTTAGCAATCCTGACATCCTGCTCAAAAGTAGAGAATTTCTGGACAAAGGTCAGGCACAGCCTCAGCAATCTTAAGGTAGGGAAGCTCTCAAACCCACAGGATCTTTCTCCTGTGTTTCATAAATTATGGAACATGGTAGGACACATGGATTACCGTGTCCTACCTCAAAGGAAATATCTCCTGACATCACAGTTACCAACTTATGAAGGAGTTCAGAAGGATCTGGAGTTCCTCAAAATCCTCCGCAGCATTTAACAGCTGAAACAATTAAATTGTCATCAAACTTCACCCACTCATTAGCCAATCCCTACTCCAAGCTGTTGGCAAGCACGTGGAATGACATCAGAGCCAGTACAGCGGAGCCTCCCTCCTTCTCTCTTCTGCACAAAATATTCCCACACCCCGTTCTCAGGGAAGTGCATTATCAGATCCAAGTTTGCAGTCACAGGATTCCAGGACATTATCAGTGTTTGCATTTTATACATTGCAGCAGTAAACTAAACCTGAACTTCCTACACTTACTCACTAGCACAAGAGTTCTTGTGGTTGGCAACAGGTCTCCCAGTCAGTGCAAATTAGCAAATTCTATTTATTGATGAGCTGGAAGAGAAAGCAGATAGCAAGCGTTACACCAAACATCAGCTCTCTGAAGCTCTGCATTGTTTTTATGCCATATTTCCAAAGAAAATATGCAGCTATAGGAAAGACACAATGAATAAATGATTTTAACAGAAAAAAAATTAAAAAGTATTTAATTTAGGATGAGATTAAATAAAATTAGTTTAATGCCATTTAAAAGAGTTTCACTATACAAAATATCTCTACCACCAAGACACCCTTTACAAACACAAACTCTGATGACTAATTCTCAAGAACAAAAAAGATTACAAAATAAATAACGTTGCCTAACAAACTGATCACACGGAAGCGTCACGAAAGCAGATTAGGAGGAAACACAGTTTACAGTGACCCTCAAAGCAAAGTATTGCTGAAAATGAGAAATTTAACACTGACACGCAGAAGGTCAACTACTGCAGTTCTTCAACACACAGAAGTCACTGAAATGAACCCGGATTTTTCCTTTGAATGGCAGGGAGGACCAGAGACTGGCTCCTGGTAGAGACGTTTATTGGTAACGGAGCACAGGACTGACCAGGGATCCGCCTCGGATATCAGAGGATGACCCGGGCGCTCAAGCCGCGACGTGAACCGGGTTTTACTCCACTTTTACTCCGTCCAACCAGCCCTTGGGGTGGCCACTCAGCACCTCGTGTCCACGGTCGCCTTCTCACCTCACTAAACTGTGAATCTTCCCCTCCCATTTTACTCACAACTAGGAATATCACATGTAAATTAAACAGAGTTACTGAAAATTACCTAAATCAATTGCTGAACTCAGCAGAACACATGAATTATTTCTTTTTTAGAAAAGTTTAGCAGCTAAGATACACCAATGACAAAAACTTCTTACTAAATAAAGGAATAAACCTACAAGAAGATAAGTACTTTAACTATTTGCAAAAATGCGTCAATTACCAATATTTAAACAAAACATTAAATATAATAAATTACTAATCAGAAAGCCTGCCTGTTTGCTGACAATCTGACAAGTGCTACTTTATATCTGAATGCAAAGGAGAACGCTCACTTTGAAGGCAAATCCTTTTGATAGAAAGCACAGTAGTATTTTGCTTGGCAAGCCAGCAGTACATCCAAACACCCCCCAACACAGCCCCCTTCGCACAGCCTGCATCCTCTCTCCACAATTACAAGGAGAAATGGCATTTTCTTCTTCACTAAACTTCTACTGGAAAACAGCAAGTTAATAAGCAGCTCTCACTGAGAGATACTGTAGCAGAATCACCCGTGATTAGAAAAACTAAAATGGTATTACAAGTTTCAAAATGTTGGGTTTTTAAATATATATATATATATAATATTTGTAAAAGTATTAGAATCAAAGTACAGACCGTCTCCTTTAAGTGACTCCTTAATGAGACATCCTGGTCTTCAATTACTAATTTTATTTCTGTTCCCACTATGACATCCTCTTGCTTTCACTGTAGTCTTGTAATTCGGAACCAAATGATGCTCCTAGTGTATGGAGCTATTAGAGTCCTGCTCATAACCTGCATGCAACTTTTCCCAAATAAACTACTTGGAAAATCCACACAAGAAGCAGCGTTTCACACCCTCCCATTGGGAGGGGGCACTAAAATAGCCTGGAATACTCATTCTAGGCAAAACTCCTAGTTTTCAAAAAAAAAAGGCTGGTTTACAGAAACTGGGAACAGCTCTAAACTTAGAGTATTTGATTTGAATGAATATTCTTTAATCTACATGTTAGCATATTTATGCCTATAATAAATTCTAAGTTGCTACCTTGATTTAAGTTAAACATTACTCTTCATCTAACCTCTAACGAGAATGAAAATTTATAACTAAGGAAGTTATAAATTACTCAACCTTCACCTAAAAATAACAGCTAGCACCATGAGTCTAGGATTAAGATCTCCTGCAGAGAAAGTGGCCTTTAGCAAAGCTATTTAACCGCTAATGATTTGCTTTATACACGTACGAAACAATGTGTTTTGTACAGGAGGTATATGGTTGATTTGAGTGAGGAAGGTGGCATCAAGAGCATAATAAAAAAAGACATTTGGAAGTATTTGGCGCAAGTTAGGTTCATACTGGGTACAAAATGAACCCAAAACACATCCCTCCTATTTGCAGCTACCGGTTAGTCAGTACATTACAGAGAGCCCTACTAATATTTGGACATTGCGGGGGCTGAGAAATCAGTGCCTAAAATATTTTTTGATTTTAGCAAAGCAATTTAGAAGACTCCTTGTCTCCAAGTACCGTTTTACGGTGGATTAAACCCACATTGTTTGAACTATTTTCAGTTATATCTTTACAACTATAACTCGGGTCCAAGAGGAAAATGAAAACAAAATGAAAGCAAACCTTTCAAAAACTAGTCATTAGAAGATGGTTTTATCAGTTCCCCACACCTGAATGCCAAATCCTCATGAGAAAACTTCCATCTGTGCTGCATTTGACTGGTCGGTAGCTGTCACTTGACTGACCCATATGCTTTGGATAAAGCAAAGCAAATATACTCCAGTCACTACAGAAACGAGTAGTTGTGGGTGTTTAAAAGGAGAGATTTTGAATCCTTTGTTGCCTAGGCTGAAATGCACATATTTGACAAAAAAAATGTCAATTTCTAGAAGTGGAATTTTCATTTTTGAAGTCTCCAATTCTTGTTCTGTACGTTTCAGACAGACCGTCTTCCCCAGTACTTCTGTAGCAGGGAAAATTTTGGAAGTGCAATACTAAAATAGCTTCTGCCCAGTTTCAGTGTTCGTGCTGGCAATTGATTTTTTCATCAGAATGCTCCAAAACATCCAGCATTTCTTCTATTATAGCCTGTAGTGCCCGGCCCAGCTGTTCGGCAGTATATGGTTTTCCCAGTGGAGGTACATGAACAAAAGCAGACCTCCCACGGCTCTGGTACAAGGAAGTATAGTAAGTGAAGTCACATAGGTATCTGAAATATAAAAATAAAACTTATTTAGCAACAAGTAACAAGTACAGTGTGCAACTGCCTGGCAGGACGAACTGTATTCTTATCGTTCAGCATTGCATCAACATCCTGCAATAAAACGTGATGTACAAGCCACATATTGTCAGTTGGTTAAATTGCTTTAATTTAACCTAAGACTACAAAACATTAGAAACTCTCCTCTCCCACATGACAGCGGAGGAACGTGTGGAATTGCTGGCCCCACTGGAAAAGCACATGAATCACATGGGCCTCAGTGAGCTGAGCATGAAAAGAACATGTTCTGCATCCTAAGTCTATTTTCCCCATTGATTATCCATCCCATACCTGCCCGCATCCTTAGATATAGTGACAGTGACGTCCAGCTCCAGGGCTGAGACTCTCTTGCAAACTGTGTCCATGTCAATAATGGAATCGATGCACTCGGGGCCGCCCTCGACGCAGCACTGGGAGCCTGGGCAGAAGCGGCAGTTGTCTAAGCCTTTGTAGCCCACATTGTGGCCACACTTCTCCAGAGTTACAGTTGTAGCCATACCCGAAACACCTACATGGACCACCAGCTACGAGAGAAAAGAGACAAGTTAGATCAAACAAGATAGAAAACGGTGCAGAATCAAGAGCCCATCATTCCCAGTAAAATACTGATGAGGTTGCTGCAGGAATTGCCAGTGAACTCGTGGGTGCAGCACAGAACAATTCTGCTGATTCCACTCCCTCCCCAGGCTAAGTTTCACTCACGGAAAGGTGAATGTGGCAGAATCACAGCAAAACCCACTGCTGGAAGAGCCACGGTGGCACAGACCGAGCCGCCCACACAGCCCTTTGCAGCAGCCACTTCACACCAGTCGCTGCCAATAAAGAGACCACTCTATTCTGAGCTATAAAATTCTACAAATTCAAATGTCCTCGCAACAACAACAACAACAAAAATCTAATGAGGGATTACAAGTCTAAACACACATTAAAAAATGTGACTTCACATTACGCTCGTTACTGTAAGAAGGACAGATCTCAATCACTTGTTCTGTCTTTCGCCCTCTTCACTCTACTCACTTGTGGACTGTGCTTTTTCCATAATGCAGGAATTAGCCTTTGCACAGTCTGATATTCAACCGGGATTTCATACACATGCAGATCCACATCATCTCGCAGTCCTAGTTTCTCCAGTTCCTAAGAAGATACGGAAATAAAATTGAAGATGATGAGACACAAATTCAGCAGAGGATATACTTCTGAATGGCTTTTTTTTTTCTCCAGAAAAAAAGGTTTTTCTACCCTTCTACCTTTGGACAGAGAGGGTTTGCTGTGGGGGACTGGTATAGGCTTATATTACAGGTTAAATAACCTTATAGCCAGCACTTGCAATGCCTTCCTACTCCCTGAGGAGCCAGGAAGAGGGAGCTATTGGACTAACATCTCTCCAAAGTTACAGAGGAAAGGGGGGTTAATGCTGCTATTTAGTTCAGCTGGTCAATACAGAACCAAAACAGTTTTCTACATCATACCCTGCACTGTCCTCAAGTCAAAAAAAGAGAGAAAACATAAAGGAGGAAGCACAAAGGCATCTCCTGCACCTGTGTTAACAGCCTTCCCACAGGACCCTTTGTTTTGTTCCCACTTGTGTGCAACAAAGAAATCCACATTCAACTGACAACAGTTACCAGCAACGAACACACAAAAAGAAAGGGCTGTCTACAATACTCTTAGAAATACTTTTTTTTTTTTTTTGGAAAGAACTAAATAATATATAAAATCGGATTGGGACAATTACATTTGTAGTCTAATTTGCTCTCTTGCAGGGTTGCTGCGTTGAACAGCAAGTTTTCATGTTTGTTTACACATAAATAAACAACAACTCTCACCTCCAGTTAGCAGGAGTAGAAGGCAGATTGACTGCAATTCTCTACAAATATTAACAAACACTGCTCATAGGACGAAAACCAACAATAAAACAGAAGCAATATTGGTACACCCTCTGCAACATATTTGTTTTTATTCTTATTCTGGCAGAATCAAGAGATAGAAAGCAGCTAC